TTTTGCATATAACAAAAAAAAAGAGTTGGCTTCCCTACAAGAAATCTTACTGGCAAATGACCGGTCACCTGACGGTCAGTGCTGATGCAATAATGCTTCAATTTCCTCTTGAGAAATTCGGGGTAATATGAAAAACCTGACCAGTTCTTTTGTGTACTTTTTTTCTAGCTGTCAGTTATTCGCTTGCATGGTGGAAATAATTTGAAAATTTGCCTACATTTAAGCATGAGATGTTCACGGTATATGTTTTCTATAATTTTCTGCTATAATTGCGATGTTTTTTGCGATTTTTCGATCACACTGGCACCGAAACTGTGTTTTGGGACCAAAAATGCTCTACCGAAATCGGTTTGGGACGAAATTAACAGTTTGATAGCCATAAACTATAAATAGTTTGAGCGCCACTGATATGCTTCGGACAGAGCTGTCAGTTTTCTTCATCACATTCCACCACTATTGCCATAGTCTTGCTTTTCGCACTAAATGTAGTGCTTTTCTTTATTCAAAACGCCAAAATTTTTGAGTTTGGTGGTTGGTGCGTTTTTTGGTGCTCCATTTTTTAGTTTGAAGATACTAAATCGGTAAATGTTAAAAAAAATCAATATCAATCGTAAATATTTTAGCAGCTTTACAAAAATGGAAACAAAATCATGGCACAATGACAATCATAAGCGAGCCAACAAATTTTTGACACAGATTTTTCCCACTATGCGCTCAAATAAGGCATATTAAAAAGAAAATCAAATTTCGTTATGTTTCAGTGTCAAGCAGTCGGAAAGAAAAGTTTTTTATGTTCCTTTAGTTCACGAGATCATAAGAGGCTGCAGTGTAGATTTAAACTACCACATAGTTCATGAAACTTTATTTTTGGTTTTTGCTTTCGTTTGACAGGAATTGCAGAAAATAGTATGCAAAACGAGGAAAAATTTAACATATAAACAGTCACGAAAATATTTATACATTTTTCTTGAATCTAAGCGAAGCGATAACGCTGGACAGAGCTGCTAGTTAATAAAATAAGAACAAGAATGTTATCGTTACTTGGACGAAAATATTTGACTTAATAGAAAGCAGAAAAAACTCGACCGTCGAGCAGGAAACATTGATTTTTATTAATTTAAATCAGCATCCCTCCAAAAAAATTTGTATTATTAAATACTCCGATAAAAATTTGGTGCTTTTTTCAAGAAAAACCCGATTTTTCTTGAGTTCTTAGTGCGTTCTCAAATCGCAAGCTTGGCAACACTGCATTCTACATGACATTCTAGTTTCATTGATTTTTTTGTCCGCTTCGAAATAGATCAGCGGACGCTGATTGTGTTTGTTTATTATCAATTCAATTAATTAAATGTGTGTATTGTTAGTCAGACAGTAACCCGCTATTAATCGTTACAATTTACATATATACACGAACAGAGCAAAGATCGTCCCTTCATAATTATTGATTAATATTATTAGTGCTGAAAATGGTCAAAGGCAAATCAAATAACGTGAATGCGGCTGACGCCTTGCATCAAGGAGTTTATAAGGCTTTGCGTACATTGGTTCATATAACGGCGGCTGTGCAATTTTCCTATGCTGTTTACTACGACTATACTTATGTAAAGTTTCCTGAAACAGAGGCGAATAGGAATAGTGGCTTTGGAGGAAAATTTAAATACTTAACATTTCTGGATGCGGTAATAAAGTTAAAATAATGACATCAAGCATTATTTCGTATGAGTAGTCTTCCTTTGCGGCCGCTGTGGCTGATTGGTTAGAGATGCGTTTTGCCATAGAACCTGGTTTGATCGTTCTCACGTTAACCGTGTGTATGTAATTGGAACGACCTAGATTTATGTATATCTGGCCAAGTGCTGTTACTTCAGGACTATTCCTCAAAACTGTTTGGGGCGTTTTTATGGTGTTGCAAAAACAATAAGTATTTTCTGATTGTGATTCTGCCTTGAAAAAATTGAAAAAAGGCGGCGTATAATTCTAGGTTCCTCAATTTGTGTTCTCATATCAGGACGCACACCTTTTGCAACAAAGCTGCAATTTTATCTTATCAATTATGGAATAAATTTTAATAGTCGTCGCTAGTATAAAGTTTGTGTTGGCTTGAGGTTAAAGGAAATGGCGAATTCTATCTGGGTATGACTTGCATATGCAATGGCTATGACAATGTTATGCTCTTTGGACGATAGAGTCTATCCATAAATCTTTTAAGAATAATTGATAAGATTTTATGGCGCGTCATGTTTAATAATATAGAGAAGTATGTAATTTAATTATTTATTTATTTTATTATATTATTTATTTTATTTATTTAAATTTAATTTAAGTTTAACAGATAACTTAACTTTCCAAAAATGGCGATTTGTCTTTCCATATGTCTTTTTTGTATACCAACTGTTTGAATTAATCCAAGGCAAATCGGTCTTGAATTGAACAAATTTTGAATGCGTTTTCCCAGCAAATTCGAGTTTCGAAATGCAGTTTATTCAATAGTTTTTAAAGCAATTATTTAATTATATGCTTGTTCAGGCTTGCACAGCACAGTCATGCTTAGGTTTATACATATCGCTCATTTACTTCAATATAGTCATAATAAAAAAAAACAATACAAAAAGAAAGTGTGTAAATATTTCACGTCGTCGCTGAAATGCAAAAAAGCCGTAACTAACTAAAATTTTGTATTGCATAAAACGATGTAGAGACTTATAATTCGATGAAATGTACGTTACACCGTGCCACAAGAACCAAAAATGTTTAAAATATATGAAAAAAACAATATATGTATTCACTAAACTAGGACCCAAATATAGTATAACTGCCGTTTTAAGTTTTCTCTCTGACGTCAGGATTTTTTTAAAGGACCGAAATTTCTAGGATATGATTGAATAAAAAAAATTATTTTAAAGATTTGGCGCATTGTAGAGTACCAATATATGGGTATCAATTAAAAGAAAAAAATGTATAGAATTGAAAAAAAAAATATTTTTTACTGCATCAGGACGAATAAGTGTTGAAAATGTCCTTTTAAAACTTTATCCTTGAATATCCTTGGAAATTTCCAATATTTATTAAAAAAATATATATATATACATATATATGGCAAGGACTAACTTTTTCTTCTGTTTCATAGATTATTCAATCACTCTACTACATTATTTCCCTAATAAATGACTTTGTGGGAACAAATGAAGTTGCGCCGAAACGTATACCAACCATCCGCAAGGTCAAGGATTACCTGATGTCAGCTTTGGCTTTTCCAGTGGCTTTGAATGTAGGCATAACATTCTGGACTTTATATGCTATAGACCGTGAGCTGGTTTTCCCACGGGTATTGGATGCAGTGTTTCCAAGGTAGGTGTGATGTATTAGACTTGTATTGTCTTCCACAATGTTCTATCTTTCATAGTTGCTTCATTTACATATCTTTGCTTTTCAGTTGGCTGAATCACGTTGTGCACACTAATATTGTGGTCTTCATTATTCTGGAGCTTTTCACATCATTCCGTGCCTATCCCAAGCGAAGCCAAGGTATTACAGGTCTCGCCGCGTTTATGCTCAGCTACCTAGTTTGGATTCATGTGGTTAAGCACTACTCAGGTGTTTGGGTATATCCCGTGCTTGAGGTATTGCAATTGCCACAGCGTGTTGTCTTTTTTGTGGCTGTACTGGCTTTTACGTTATGTTTGTACCTGCTTGGTGAATTCATGAACAACATTGTTTGGGCCAAAGAACTGAAGTTAGCGCAACGCAAAATCAAATAAACAACTTTAATTCACAGTTTATTAAATATTGCATTCAGAAAAGGTGATTTAAATATTGTTGATATTCAGGAGAGGGAGAAAACCAATTAGCAAATTAGAAAACAAAGAGAAGTTTCTTACGATATTTTAAATCAAAAGCTTTGCATGAATTTCTACAATGTATTTAATATATCGTATGTAGCTCGATTAAAGCCAAAACAATGCGAAAATCTAACCAAATAAAAACTTTGTGTAGTCAATTCCTATAAAAACTAAAATATTTGAAATATAGTTTGCATGCTAAATATGTATGTAAGTATAATGAACCCAGTTAATTCAGCGATACAAATTTTAAATACATATGTATTTATGGTTATATGTATAACACAATTTAATTTATTTATTCAGGTCACTTAGATTTAATTACACAGAAACATCTCGTTGAACAAATGCTAGCAAATATGATTGCAGATATTATCATTTACTATAAACATATTCATATCAGCGCACTGGAGTCCGTTACAAAGTTGCAAGCCAATAATAATGAATTTTAAATAAATGCTTTAAACGATATTGAATATTTGATGAGGGTTTTTTTATTCCTTGCGTTGTATTAAAATGACAACGGAAATGATTAAATGCAATGGTGAGTAATAAAATTAAATAACAAAGTGTGTAAATTAAACTAACCCAGCCAGAAAAAAATCCGAAAACCTATCCGAAAAAGGAAAAAAGTAGATGAAGTGCGGATTTTTGTCCGTTTACCGATTCCATTTTCGGGTATTTTGACGATCCTTTTCCCACTAAAGTGTGCGGCAAACAACTACGGAAAACTGTTTGGGAAACGGATACTTTTTCGAATGTTTTTTCTGAAATTTGTCTGATAAATTTTTTCGTTTAATATGTACTGAAGCGTACGCGTTCATTCTGTACTTCAAAGATTCTTTTTCATGGTTAAAAAATAAAATAAAATTAGGAAGCGTCTGACGGAATTCGAACCCGCCCCTTGTGGAAGCTAACAAATAACGCCACGCTCCTCTGCACGCTCAGCCAGGCATATATTGCCGTTGCAAACATGGGTTGTACCTTTTTCTCTTTTTTTCACAAAAAAATTTAAGAAAACCGTAGTATACGCCCAGTGATAGTTTGAATTACAACAAACACTTCGTTTTGACGTTATGCTTTCGAGGAATACAAAATTCGTTCTCGGTTGCGTATACGACTTTAAGCAAAATTTGTTAAACACTCGCGCGCATGTCGATTCGAACGTTTAAAATGATACGAATCATTAGCATATGCGAATGCGAATGCAAATATTCGTCACTTCTCTAACATGAATTGCCTTATCACCACCACAGTTTGAGAGCAACTGTATACGAAGAGTTCGCCACATTTTCGATTCCACTTGGCAAGTGGACAGTGGACTTTGTGAGATCTATGTGTGGCGCAAGTGGTAGTGGAATAATTAGTTACAAGTTAAATTAAATATAAGCAGTATAATCATTAATCCGACTCCAGTAAGTTAGTATCTAAAATGACAAAAAGCAAAAAGAAACTAAAGGAACAGCAGCAGGTGAAAGTGCAAAATGCGATCGTTGAGGAACGCCTGACAACAACGAACGATGCGTATACACAGGTAAGCGTGTAAATTTATTAAAGCCATAAACATATGTACGTATTTGCACAACCGTAGGGTGCCTTCTCTTACCTGAGGATGCTCACACACATCATTGGACTGTTACAGTTCACCTATGGCATTTACTATCACTGGTTTAATGTGCATTGGCCTCAGCGTTTGCCGGAGGAGGAAGAGTTAAAGACGCGTTGGGGAGGAAAATTTAAATACCTTACCTTTCTGGATATGGTTTGTAATTTACAGTTTAATTATTTTGCGACTTGTTTTTTGAGTCTCGCCTTTCTAGATATTACAAGCACTATATCACTTTGTTGCGCTTCTAAATGACTTAGTTGGCTCCAATGAAGTCGGTCAGACGAGGCTGATGCCGGGTGTGCGTAAGTTGCGAGATTATATCTTCGCCACTTGGGCTTTTCCCATAGCACATAATTTCTGCATTTCCTTTTGGGTTATATATGCCTATGATCGGGAGCTCATTTTCCCCAAAGCGCTAGACGCTATTTTTCCCAAGTAATTATGCTGCCAATATGTACATATCGTCATCATCAATGCAAAAGGCATTTTTTGAGGACATCAGAAGTTCACTTTTTAAATATTCCATTATTTTGGTTATACCAAAATACTTAAAATAATGAGGTTTATTTTCACCTTTAAACCAGATCTCTTAGTCAATTTAAAAAGTATTTTATCCTTTTGTAAAATGTCATATAGGGCCATTTGCATTGATGATTACGATATATCCAAGTAAACGTTTCTAAACATGTG